TGGGCACAAAAAAAAAAAAAAAAAACCCTGGGAATCAATGCTACCACCCTCCTGTGTTTCTTGAAGCCAGTTGTGAAGTGGGTGTTCCTGCATCCTGGTGGCCGGCTTCAGCACTTCATTAATCTCTGAGATTTTTACATTCTTACAGGACAATGATATTGGGATAATTACTCAGCAGCCAGTGGTAAAAGTAATTTGAATTTAAATCTCAGCTATTTTTTTCTTTAGGAATTTATTTAATTCGCCCCTCTTAATATTTTAGGGAATATGTTAGTTAGGACACAGTAAAGAGGGAGAGGGAGATGATTTTGCAACTGATTAAGAGGTTCTGTCATTTCTTTCCTTTTACATTTCAGATTTCAGGCTTTTGTACCTTTTACTAGTCTTCCCATGGGCTTTAAGTTTCTCTCACCATCCAGGAGAGAGATGGCAAATGTTTTTGCTCATTACAGGTAAATTGTATTGAAAGGAAAAGGAGACATCATTTCATACATCTTGGTTCATTTTTAAAGTGGAAATCAGTCACTCAAATTGTCCCTCACTCAACCTTTCTAAATTCTAGGACATAAAAATTAATGTCAATTAAATATTGGACTAATATTTCCAATTACTGGCATAGATGTTTTGGGTCACATTTATGACAAAATAATTATACTTTCTTACAGACTTTAGAGTATGTTTGGGCCCTTGACACACTGAATGTAGGCACATTCCACAGGATTTAGTGAAAGGTTCTGGTGGTGGACATTTATGGTTGTTACTTGACTGTTGAGCCAAATTGCTGGTCTTTCTATATCTCTTGCCAAGCCACCCTCCAGAAAAGACATGCCTAAGTTACACACTTGTTTTTGGGCATATGAAATTGTCTCAGTGACCCATTTGGTTATGTGATTTGCAGGTGGGCAATCACCAGGGGCTGCGTGGCTCTGATGCAGCTAAATAGCACCATATTTGCTTAATGTTTATGTGTGAAAGTGGAGGCCTGTATGTGGGGGTAAGGCTCTGTACAAATTCACAGCAAAGCTTTACTTAGTAGTCAAGAAAGCTATTTTTTGCCCTGGCTGGTGTAGCTCAGTGGATTGAACACAGGCTGCAAACTAAAGGGTCGCTGGTTCAATTCCCAGTCAGGGCACATGCATGGATTGCAGGCAGGTCCCCAGTAGGGGGCGTGCAAGAGGCAACCACACATTGATGTTTCTCCTCCTCTCTTTCTGCTTCCCTTCCACTCTCTCTAAAATAAATAAATAAAATATTTTTTAAAAACTACCTTTAAAAGCAAAAAAAAGTTATTTCTCAATCAGTGGAATCCAAGGGTCAAAGGAAATGAGATTTAAGAACTTGTGAATGATTGATAGCATTAAGATGCTTTCTAAATGGGCTATATGTTTTATTAGATGAGGGATAAGGCACTTTAAAAACAGCAAAGAGGCAGCAAAATTTTAGTAAAGAATTGGGGTTTCCACCAAGAAGAATAACAGATATTTTATTAGTGACAACATCCCAGTGGCTCAATTACTCAATATTATTACTTGCAATAATTATTACTTGCAATAATTAGGAAGGGGGGCAGATTGAATTGCATAAAAGGCTAAATTATATAATACTTTTTATGCAAAAGATGTGTTTCTTACATCCTGGCCTGGTGGGTGTCCTGCTTTCAGGAATGAAGAGGAGGATCTGCGTTGGCACACCAGAGCTCCAACCTGAGACCCTTTGGGATGCATTTTATGAATTTTTAAAATTATTCCTCAAGAATTGCTGTGTAGCCCTGATGGGCATGGCTCAGTTGGTAGTGTCATTCTGCAAAGTGAGAGATCACTGGTTCAATTCCCTGTCAGGGCATGTGCCTGGGTTGCAGCCTGGTCCCTGTTGGTTAGGAAGTGTGCAAGAGGCAACCATCGATGTTTCTCTCACACTACAATGTTTCTCTTTCTTCCTCCCTTTTCTCTCTCTCTAAAAGTAGGGAAATAATTTTTAAAAAAGAATTGCTGTGCATACTATGGATTTGGTTTAAGAGATCTTTCCTGTAGTTGACACAGCCTTTGAACTGACCACCAGGAACTGGGCTTCCAAATGTATGATGTTTTGGTTTGTATAAAGTTAGGGGGATTAAAAAGCAAAATGCATCATAAGAATGCCAAGATTAATCCTTACAGTCACATTGGATTTTTTTAAGAAGCTGTCTTCTGTAACATCTGATGGGTTAGAATAAACTTGCCAAATGTTCGATAGACCTGAAAAGAAATCCACAACAACAAGACCAACTAAAAACCCAGATAGTTAGCTAAATAACCTAGTGGTTAGAAACACTACAGGCTATGCACATTTGGGTTGTTTCTTTGTCACCTTCACTAGTTATTTCCAACGTAATTAAAACCTCTTTATAATTAAATTTCTAACATAATCAGCAGCCCATTGCCAAGACTGTGAGGCTTTTCTCAAGATGTAATTATAGTGAGGCTAAGTCAGGTGAATGTCAGGAATTATCAGTAGACATGGGCAAGCCCCTGAAAATGAGCAATTACTATCATATGTCACATTTTTCATCTCCTTTGCAACAAGGTTATATAAAAAGAAGTGGAGGGTGTCTTAATGGCCTCAGCTGCCATTTGTGGGTATACATAAATTTATGTGTTGTAACCTGATGTGCATTCATGCCTGCAAATTACACTTGAAAGAAAACTAACAATGTCAACTCCTGCTGACATTGAACAGTGGGAGGTTTTGTACAGGATTCCAGAATTTCCTCTGTAGCATCTGTGTACAAGGCATTTCTTTTCATTTTTTGTGTCTTGTGATCCTCCTTGCTCATGAGAGAAAAAGGAAGTCAATGTGGGTAGATATCTTTTTCTTTCCTTCAAATCAAAAGACACGGATTTCTTTTGGATTTCTTTCCTTCTTCAAATGTTTTCTTTAAATATATTCTTTAAACCAAAGTCTCAGTTGGTGATATTTTGCTCTTATAAACACTACCCCTTTCATCTTGTTTCTTCATGTTCTGTGGTATCAGTCCCAGCTCATACTTATTTTTCTCCCATTTAGCCACAAGGTGTAAATTTGCTAACTGAAAAGGCGTGCTCTAACAGTTAATCTCGATGTATGTCCAAAGGCTGAGCTGGCTGCACTGGATAATTTCCCCCGGGGATTGTTCTGTATAATGTAGGGCCATTTGTTGAGCTGTCTGATGTGGAAGAAGAGAAAATGAAAGGACCTACCAGACAGAAACGGGATCATACAGTGCCTTTAAGACCAAAAAGGGAAATCAAAGGGCAATTTCAGGTCCACTCCAGTTCCCCAAGCATGTGCCTAGGAACTAGGGAGTTAGGATTTTTTTAAGTTAGTGTTTTCAGAAAAGTCACTGAGAGGGAGCCCCAAATCAGGGGATTTTGGCAAATTTAGCAATGCCCATAGCTGTGCTCAGAAACTACCACCAATCCAGAATGCTTCTGTAGGTGCCTGATAGTTACTAATTCTACAAGGATCTACAAAAATGTTTGGAATGAGAAGGAAAATATATACATTAATAATGATTCTAAAATCCAAAAAGACCAGAAGAAAAAATATACATTGATATTGATTCTAAAATCCAAAAAGATATCTAAATATTTAATTGAATGCTTATAAAATGTTTAATATCAACTTAAGTATTAAACTTAGTCCTCTTAAAATGACATGTGAAAATGAATCATGGATTCATTTTTCTCACTTTTTGAGGTTTTGAGCATGCTAATCATAAGTTAAATGCATTGCATATAGCCAATAATGTAAAAATTTTCATTTTTACATGAAATGTACAGTTTAGGTGGGATGTTGGGGTCCCTTAATGTTCTTTGTATGACGTGTGTGGTAGGACTAGAAAAAAAGAGCTGAGGGCCACCGAAGGTTCTAGAACAACTCTGCACCTGTCCACTCGTCTCCAGGTGTATGATTATCTTTGAAGATGTAGAGCAGCAAAGACTGTAATGGGAAGACCAGAAGGCAAGCCAAGGGGAAAGGTTCTAGTTTTTTTTTTGCTGTGTGCAGTCATAGTTGAGATGAAGTCACTAAGGTAGTATTCTGAGCGTGAGGCAATTCACAAGGTACTTAACTCTACGTCATTGGAAAGATAACGGGAAGGTGCCCCAGTTCTTTGGAAGAGGGAGTGTGCCTATTAAGCGGGGGAAGCAAAGCTGCCCAGTTGAGGCATGTTGGTAGAACAGCATTGCCACCTTTTCTGAGTTGTGTTCTCTCCCAACAGCCCCTCACATGCCCCTGTGTTTAGTCAACTTTTTCTCAGCTTGACAGAGATATCCATTCTTAGCATGAAAAACTTGAAGTGGTAGGAGTAGAAAAAAGGTGGATTATCTGAATTCCATGTATAATGTATACATGGAATTCCATGTATAATGAAAATAGTCTAATTCAGTGACCTTACTTCTTCAGGCCTTCTTTACTTTTTTTATTGAGCACACATGGGACAGTGAATGCTGACTCCTTCAAAAGACGAGGAAATAATACTTCCTTGAAATCCTCCTAGCAATAACCACTAATAAAAGTTTGGTATAATTCTTGCAGAGTTTTTTTACATATACTAAATTATTATTTTTAATAAAGTGAGATATAAGTAAGGTTTAATTTCTGTTTACTTAACAATATATGTTAGGTATGTTTCCATGTCAATACACATGTACTCATTTCATTCATTTTAATGACCACATGGTATTCCACTGCAGGGCTGGGCCTTAATTGATCTAACTGCCTTCTATTGCTGGACATTTGGCTGCCCATTCAAGTTTGATCTTTCAGGAAATGTACCATGTGCCTAAACAAACCATTATTTATTAGCGGGAAATATGCAGTCTTGGCCCCCTGCGTTGGCATAATGCTTCCCAGGAGCAAAAAGAACCAAATATTTCCCTATTAAGAACAAACAGATGATTGGTCTTAAATGTAAAACCTACATGTGATTCACTGTTTATTTATTTACTTGTCTTTTTTTTTTGTCTTTTTCTCTTATGCAGTCATCTACAGCCAGGGACAAGGATGAACCGACACTACCGGTAGGAAGCAGTGGCCCTGTCTGTACCTGTTTGTGTAACTGTGGACAGTGGAGGGTGGGTCGAGGGGTGGGAGGGTGAGGGGCTCATGTGCTCAACAAGTCACCCCCTCCCTTGGAACACTTAAGTGGGTTAATCTGCTGCTGTGTGTGTATGCTCCAGCCTACAACTCGTGTCAACTGAATTTTGACATTCACTGACAATCTCTGAGACTAGGTTGTATAAAGTCACAGCTCTCTCCTTCCTTTGGCATAAACTTTTTTAGGAGTTGAAATAGTGAAGTAGTTCCAAATTACATTCCAAGGGATGTTGAGCTGACATTTGGGAACAGTGGCTGGGTGGGGTGGTGGGAGGTTGTCTAATGCTTTATAACTCTTCTTTGTATATCTGCATGCATCTAATTTTTGGTTAAAAATTTCTTTTGGTTCTATAAAAAGAAATGCTGCATGAGACCTATATATGTTATATATATAGATAGATATAGATATAGATATAAATAGATTAGATATAGATATAGATATACACACACATACATATATAAATTATATATATATAAAATACCCAAAAGAATGCTCCAAGTTTTTTAATAGATATAATCCTTTGCTAATGAAAATCTCCAAAGCAGAGTTCTTCCAGTTTATCATAATAAGAACTGTAGTAATAGTGGTCATGGCCAATTATTAACAACAAGCACATGTTTCAGTTCCTGTCCAATTAACACATCACATTTTGCACTGTGAAGCATGACACAGAAATGACCTTCAGAGTTTTTGTGTTCAGCCATTAAACAGAGATTACATTTCAAATCCATTCATTTTTCTTAACCTTGCCTCTAAAATATTTTGAACCTTAACCATCTGAATCAAATAACACTATTTATTTGAAAATGTTACAGATTTTTAAGGCAGAAGGATGAGAAAAGAAAATATGTACAGCCCCATCCTTCCCCCTCCACTGCTGAAAGCAAAGATTTATGACATTCACTGAGAGCCCATAGGATATGCCAGATCCAGGGCTGGGGTAGGGACACAGATCCACTTTCTTTCCCTGAGGAGCTCATGATCTGGCTCACCACTGAGACACCTGTAATCCCCCCTGATTCTTCTCCAAAAGCTGTAGGGTTGGGAACATAATTTCTAGTAGAATATCAGTTATAATAAAATCACACTAAGAAATTCAGATATCTCCATGTACTTCATACTGACATTTTACATGTACTTCAAACTCACTATAGGTTTCATATTTGTCTCCAAACATGCAGACTATGATTGTTAATAAGTATTCTTCAAAGTGAGGATCTATGGGCAATAGTTCAGAAACGCTGTCCAAGTTCACCAAGTTAACCTGATTTTTTTTAACTTAGTGGTATAATGTATATCTTAAAACTCTAAAGTTGGTTTGGTCTAGGGTATAGCACTGTCCAAGGTATTGATCATGGGACTTTTCTTGGGAAGCACCCTGTGGATCTGAAGTATGATGGGCTATTTTGGAAAACCCTACATTGCAGAGGGTTGGAAGACAGTAGGAAACAGTATTCTATTTGTACCTGACCCCAGAAAAATATCATGTCAAGATTTTGGACCAAAAGTTTGATAAGAATTTAATTTCCTTACATTACGTTACCCATCTGTGGAGTGTGGCCTCTGTAGCATCTTCCCCTGGGATAACCAACACAAAATCAATCAAAGGGGGAGAAAACCATTCTTATGCAGGATAAAAATCTGACAGTGCAGACAGTTTGTTTTTTTCTGGATTGTTTGTTTTTAAAGATTAAAAAAAAGAGTTTGTTGGTAACCTCCTCTGTCGAGGTTCATTCTTCCTCTCTTACCTGTCAGTTTCATTTGTGTGCCCAGAGGATCTCTCTAGTAGGAATCTATGCAAAAGAATGCCCCCTCCTTGAAGTTAGGAGTCTGCTCTGTAGATTCATTGTAAGTGCTTCTCTCTCTTTAAAATTATACCTAACGCAGACCATAGGGCTTCATGGATTAGAGCTGTGGTCCAGGGAAGAGAAGAGGAAACCCAGGAGATGTGCAAGGTGTTCCTTTGTGGAGCAAGGAGAAAACATTATCACGTCTGTCATTTACTTTCTATATTATTCTTCATAATTTCCATTTTTCAAAATTTTTATAATACATATGCTCATATTTAGTATGGGTGTGAATATAGATGCAGATACAAATATAGATATGGATGCATACATATATACTCAAAATTTCACTGATAGGTTGTACAATCCAAACATTTCAGAAACTGCCCACTGATTTGGATAACAAATTTTGAGAGAAACAAACTTGAAATCCATTCCTCTATCCTCCATTTTTTGTCTGTGTGAATTGGACACCTCATTTCATTTCTTTGAGACAAAGCTTCCTAATCTGTCTAAAGGAAAAAAACAACAGTACCTTGTTCATTCAGTTCATTTTGAGAATGAGATAAACTAATGGAGGTGAGGCATATAGCACATCAACTAACATTTTCTAAGCTCTAAAAAATGGTAGCAATTTACTTAGTAGCAAAGGATGTAAGAAAGTCATTCCCTTGGGGAATTTGAAATGTATCTTGAAAATCTTTGGCCAATAGTATGTGATCATGTGACAGAAACAAGTGACCATGAGACAAGGTGAGGACCCTATCTGCATTTGCCCTCAGCTTCTGAGAACTAACAGCATCCCATCTGGTTTTTCTGCTCAGACCAAGCCACGTCTCCAGAGAGGTGGAAGCTCTGCCTCTCTCCACAACAGCCTCATGAGGAACAGTATCTTCCAGCTCATGATACATACCCTCGACCCACTTGCTGAAGGTAAACATCAGACTTTAATTTGGGAGCTTGTTTGGGGGTGGGGGAAAGAGAACATATTTCTCTTTATAAAACATGTGCACACTTCCACTGCACAAGCCTGCCAATGTCCTGGTACTTAGCATCTTCCAGAGGAAGCCCTGGGCTTTCTCTGCAACAGCTCAGTTCATAATCAGAGACTTTTGTACCAGGAGTAGAATATGACATCCACATATGTTTTGATTCTGTCTTTCGATTCCTCCAGCATAAATACAGTTTGTTATGAAACAAAGAAGACAAAAAGTTTTCTCTCCATTCCAGCTAGAATGACAGTTTTTTTTTTCATTATCATTCCTACATTCCAAAATAAAGTTGCATACTAAGGTAAACTGTGCATCTTTAAAAGACAGAAAAAGAGAAAAAAGAATTCATGCTTTAGGAGGGCTGAGAATAGTTTTAGAAACGATGTTCTAACATCGTTCAGCAGTGAACATCGATATTCTACTGATTCTTTCACAATGGGAGAGTGGGAGGTGAGCTTCTAAGCATCTAAAGAGCTTTCTTTAAAGTAAGTGCTTAGGAACAGTCTCTGGAGCCCTGAGAGGACTGACTCGCCTTTTTGGGAAATCACATCCCAAAGACTCCAGTTTTGAGTTCTTCCAGTTTTAGTCATTCACAATGAAGACAGATACACCAAGTTCCTTAAACTGTATAACTATCCTTAAAAAATTAATTTTGAGGGTAGATAGATATCTGGTATATCAAGTTAATATGAGAGTTAGGTCACTAGCAAGGGGTTCACATATCACCAAGTCTGTTCTCACTTCATCTGTGGACCTTATAACTGGGTTTGATATTACACAGGGACTAATAGCCTGGGAAAGAGGTCTCTGCCACTGAATAAATATGTGGGATAAGAGTGTCAAACCATGTCACCTAAATCAGAGCTCTTACCCAATATAAACATTTTCTAAATAATGTCAAAGGTACAGACAATCCAGAGATTCAAATGAAGTAAAGAAAACTCTGGGACCTCAGCAGTGGCTCCCCAGGTCCTAGCTCCCCTCATCGACACACACCACTCCTCCAGAATAAAAGGGGAGGATCAAGGGTCACTTGTCATTGTGGAGTTTTCCAATGATGAAAAATTGTTGTTTTGTACCCCAGAGAGTTGTATAGCTGGCATGATGTTCTCTAAGGAGCCCTGCTTCATAGACCCTGACTTCTATTTACTAGTAGTCAGACACATCCTAAATATTATTACTCTACGCAGAGGCCCACCTGACAGGGAAATTAGACCTGGTCACTAGCCTTCTCTTGCTTCTCCTGGGCACACCCCCAGAGAAGGGGGTGAAGGGATCACAGGTCAACTTCCTCCCAGCCACTGAGCAGTTGTGTGACTTTGGGCAAGTTACAGTCTCTAGCATGTACTGGATTTCTTCATCTATAATATTTGTCAGTTACCTGTTTAGCACTTCACATTTGACAAAGCATTTTCACACCTATAAATTTATGCTACATCATAACACTTCATAGATAGCATTATTCTAATTTCATAAAACATTATAACACCAAAACATCTCAAATTTATCTATGGCTCTTTCTGCCTGCATTTTATTCCAAGTAATCTTCATTGCTTACCTGGATTTTTGCAGTAGCTTTCTGGCTGATCTTCCACATTCTCCACTGCTTTATTTTCTGTATATTTTCCACAGAGTAGCCCAAGTAACCTTCTTTTTTTTTTTTTAAAGCAGATTCTAGGGCCCCTCCGAAGGCATGCAGAATCAAACCATGAATCTATATATATTTTTAATACATATTTTATTGATTATGCCATTACAGTTGTTCTATTCCCTCCTCATTCCCCTCCACCCTGCACACCCCTTCCCCACCATTCCCCCCTTTTAGTTTATGTACATGTGTCTCAAGTTCTTTAGATTCTATATTTCCCATACTATTCTTGCCCTCTTCCCTATCTATTTTCTGCCTACTGTCTATACTATTTATTTTCTGTACCTTCTCCCTCTTTCTCCTCCTCCCACTCCCCTGATGCTACCCCTCCATGTGATCTCCATTTCTATGGTTCTGCTCCCGATCTAACTGTCCTCTTAGTTTGCTTTTGTTTTAGGTGTGGTTCTTAATAACTGTGAGTTTGCTGTCCTTTCACTGTTCATCTTTTTTATCTTCTTTTTCTTAGGTAAGTCCCTTTAACATTTCATATAATAAGGGCTTGGTGATGATGAACTCCTTGAATTTGATCTTATCTGAGAAGCACTTTATCTGCCCTTCCATTCTAAATGAAAGCTTTGCTGGATAGAGCAATCTTGGATGTAGGTCCTTGCATTTCATGATTTGGAATTCTTCTTTCCAGCCTCTTCTTGCCTGTAAGGTCTCTTTTGAGAAATCAGCTGACAGTCTGAATGGAACTCCTTTGTAGGTGACTGTCCCCTTATGTCTTGCTGTTTCTAGGATTCTCTCCTTCATTTGAATCTTGGGTAATGTAATGATGATGTGCCTTGGTGTGTTCCTTCTTGGGTCCAACTTCTTTGGGACTCTCTGAGCTTCCTGGATTTCCTGGAAGTCTATTGCATTTGCCAGATTGGGGAAGTTCCCTTTTATTATTTGTTCAAATAAGATTTCCACTTGCTCTTTCCCTTCCCCTTCTGGTACCCCTATAATTTGGATGTTGGAGCGTTTAAAGATGTCCTGGAGGTTCTTTAGCCTTTCCTCATTTTTTTAATTCTTGTTTCTTCATATTTTTCTGTTTGGTCATTTTTTTTCTTCTTTCTGGTCCACTCCCTTGATTTGAGTCCCAATTTACTTTCCATCACTATTGGTTTCCTGTGCATTTCCCTTCATTTCAATTAGTGTAGCCTTCATATGTTCCTCTAATTTGTGACTAAAATCAACCAGTTCTGTGAGCATTCTGACCACCAGTGTTTTGAACTGCGCATCTGATAGGTTGGCAATTTCTTGTTCACTTAGATTTATCAGCTCTGGGGCTCTGAGTTCTCCTTGAGCCATGTTTTGATCTGTTCACTCCTGAAGAGAGGAGCCTTAGATGTTCACCAGGGCGGGGCCACCCAGGTCACTGGTTTGTGATGCTGTATGTGGAGGTGGGGTCAGAGAGGGACTATAGCTGTCCCCTCTGCTGCCTCCCACCACTGGGGCCTGCGTGATCCGTCTCACCACTAGCTCCTTCGCCTAGTTTATCTGCGTGCAAATGTGCGACGAAGATCAGCCTGCCGCCCTGCGCCCTCAGTGGGTCCACCTGTTGCTACTCCACACCTGGGATTCATCCTCAGCTGTTTGCGTACCTGGGTTGGTCCGGTGGATCTTTCCTACCTGACCCCGCTCTGCTTCTGGCTCTGCCCCTCTTACCGGTCTGGCTGAGTGGTTTGTTGTTGTCAGACTTCAGTATAGTTTAATTTTCTGTGGTTTGGCTGTGTTTTTGTTGATAAAACTTTGTTGTTTTTAAACTTGGTTGCAAGAAGGCACAATGTTTCCACCTACGCCTCCATCTTGGTGGAAGTCCCATGAACCTATATATTTTTTTAAGATTATATTTATTTATCTTTAGAGGGGCAGGGAAGGAGAGAGGGAGAGAAATATCAAGGTATGGTTGCCTCTCGTGTGTTTTCTGCTGGGAACTGGCCTGCAACCCAGGCATGTGCCCTGACTGGGAATCGAACTATGATCCTCTGTTTCGCAGGCCCATGCTCAATCCACTTAGCTACATCAGCCAGGCCAATAACCTTCTTAAAAAGTAAATTCAAATTCACTCCTACATATAACCTATAGTGGCTTCCCATGGCTTTTAGGAAAATATGAAACACTGGCCATGGTCTCATGAGCTCCCTCTCTATCCAAACTCAGTTTGACTCACTTTGCTTTAGCCACATAGGCCTTTTTGTCCTGGAACAGGTACTTCTTTTCTGCCTCAGGGTCTTTGCATAAACTATTGCCGCTACCCACCATACTTGTCTTTCTCTCACCTCTTCTATTTTTCCTGCTTTGTCTCACCCATTGTACAGCACTCTGTCTAAATGACACTTCCCAACCATCCAGTATAAATCCGGGCCCTCACTCCTTACCTCTTAATGCACCCTTTAATTTTTCTTTATTGCTCACATTACAATTTGTGTGATTATTTGTTTACTGCCTGTCACCCCCAGGATAAGTTTTTCAAGAGCAGGGACTCTATTTACTAGTGTCCCAAAGGTCTAGCAGAATGCCTGGCTTGTAATAGCTATTAAGGCTTAGAAAGATTAAACAACTTGGCCAAATTCATGCCTTTGACCTGATATTGACTCAACTTCAAAGCCTTCTAAAGCCCCACAGGTTTAAGATTGTATCTTGGTTATTTTGAGCCACTATCTTTTTCTTCCCATCTTTGTAAAAGGCCATGGGAGAAATGAAAAGAACTATTTTAGCTGCTCCAACTCGATAATGAGCAGACAACTGAGTATATTTATTTTTGACAAGGTGTTGTTATATAGTAATTTAGACAACAGACTCCAAAGCTAGACTTTCTGGGTTCAGATCCCAGCTCAGCATTTACTAGCCATGTGACCTTGAATAAGTTATTTAAGCTTTCTATACCTCAGTTTCCTCATCTATAAAGCCAGGATGGTATAAAATTATGGCTACATCACAAGGTTGTTTTATGTATTAAAGGAATAAAATATGGGAGGGTGGGACTGGGTGAAAGAAGGTAAGAGGGTTAGACAAAGAACATGTATGCATCACCCATGGACATGAACAACAGTTTGGGGACTAACTGTGGGAAGGTGGGGGCTGGAAGGAGGCGGGGCAAAGGAAGAAACTGCAGTAGCATAACCAATAAAATTTTTAAGTGATATATATAAAGCATTTAACACCATGTGTAGCAGACCATAAGTATCATAAAAAGGTTTAGAGCTATTCTGTTATTTGGAAAATAATGCAGCATATGGTTTTTAATTCAAAATATTCAAAAGGCTATGGTGAAAAATAAGTTTTTATCATTTATCAACCCCCCAATT